TGTCACGGGGGGTGAGGAGAGGTTGATCCAGAACATCTTCTTCCTTGCCCATATCCTCTTCATTGCTCCGTGGCACGAATGTGGGGTTCGGTACCCCGTGCTTCAGATCTATCTCCAAATGCGGGAATGGGTTTACCGATGGTTTTGCGTCATGGTGGAAAGGGTTGTGCGGTCGGTTGTGAGGAGGGCGGCTGACCCGATTGTTGTTGGTCCGAGTGCGTTTCTGCCTCGAGAACCAGGATTGGATGTCTAGACCGGTTCGTGGAATCGCGCCGTTCGTGGATCTAATGGTAGACCTAGAGGCGGACGTTGCAGATATAAGAGAAGGCGTAACGGGGGGGAAGGGGTTCAAAAGTTGGCCTGTCGGTGGCATAAGACGATGGCCGCCGACTCTGGGGGTTGGGGGGTTGCGTTTCTCCCTCTTCCAGAACCACATTCTCGCCCCTCGATTTGCTGCATTCGTCGATGCAGGCGGCGGCGACCATGCTTCACTCGAATCTACCTTCGCGGGTCCATGTTCCACATGTCTAGTCTTGCTCGGAATATCCGTCACTGCCTCCACGGTATATGTACTCACATTCGCACTCGGTGCTGTACTTGTACTTTCCATCATGTCCGGCGGCATCGGGACATGCAAGTCCGTGTCGTTGAGGTTCAAGGTGGTGTATCTGGTTTCGTTGTTTCTGTAGGAGAGTGTGAATTTTGTTACTTCGTCTTCATCTTCCCATTGTAGTGGGGTGGTGGGCATGAGTGTTATTGTGGTCCTGATGGTAGTTTCACAGGGTGCGGTCTGGGATGGGGAATGAGGAGTGGATTTAGGTGTGAGGGTGGTGGTGGTGTGATTGTGTGGGAGAATGTTGTAACTCGCTGCGACTGTCTGGGGGCATGACGAGGGTTTCTTTATCAGACTAGAGACGTGGGAGTGTAGAGATGGCCAGACCAGAGCATTCTCTGTATCTTCGTCTTTGGTCCCTCGAGGAAGGTTCTCCAAGACTGTATCGCTGGGATAGAAGGACTTGACAGATTCATGCTCACTGGGTGGGGAGACGTAGCTTGTTGAGGAGATTGTCTTTGCTACTGTAGAGGGCGTCGGTTTTGATGTGTTAATCTGGGGAGACAAGTGTTGGTGGCAGTGGGCGAGTGCTGAGGGGAGTAGGGATAACGAGAAGGCGATGGATGAGGACTTCATGATGTTATAACAGAAGCGATATCAAAATATACAGTATGAGAAACGACTGGGATAATGGAGTGGAATTCTCTCTTTAGGAAATGATGTTCTATTTAAGAACACCACTGATACGTTGGACAATCTTCATGCGTTCAAAGTCTGTGACACAGTGGCCACGAAATACCGTGAAGCGGTGCAATTGGGATTCAATTCCCAGCACACGTCAATCAAGTTACTCGACATGGACACCCAAATGTTACAAAAAAGAGAAAAACACAATGTTAGAAAACGCAATAGTCTAATCAACAGGCTACGTATCGGGAAGGGTGGGGCGCGGACGCGGGCGTGGCCTGGTGCGTTCCACTGTTCGAATGATGAGTTGAGTATCAATAAAAGTCACGTGGATAGTCGTCGTTTGCTCGGGTCTGCAACCAAAATATGTTCCAAATTTCCTATATTGAAACGTGAATACACTTAAATCAGAGTCTTACACTTCATTTTCTTCGTAACATAGACCCTCCGAGCCCTCATGCGGGTCAAAATTACCACTTTCTCCTTTCGAATGTTCTCGATGATCAATATGCCAGGTCCTGAGATCGTTGTCGCAATATTCACTTGTGGCGACGTAGTGACGGTCTGTGTGACAACAGTGACTTCCCATATTTCTTGGAAGCGCTGGCATTCGAGCACCACTCTGTTCTCCTGTATGGTACAGATCTTGATATCGATGTCCGAGGGAATTTAACCGCACGTGAGAGATTTTCAGGGTGCCATCCAGTATGTCATCATACTTCTAATCACAAACGCTGGCGTGGCGAGGATGGAGTTGTTTAGTGTCAGTGTTGGCGTTCGCGTTTCGAGCGTGAATCCGCATTCGCTGGAGGAGGTGGTGACTTCTTGATCGCAGTCTGTGATTACGAATTATGATGCTAGTCTTGTGAGGGTTGTCGCGCAGACGGCGGTCCTGAAAGTCCTGGAGAGAGTGTGAGAAGTATGAAAACTATGGGGGGTCCAACACACCACGTCATTTCGGGGATGTAGGACGTTGCGACTTGCCTCTAAGCTGTGGCTTCGACTGGAGAGGCATCCGGAGACGGAAAGATTATGTAGGCTTGCGCGGCAGACGTGTGGAAGACCTAGGGGCAGAAGAGTGAATACGAAGATGCTCAGGGGAGAGTCCATGCTGATGAGATTTAAGCTCGTTCCATGTTTGATGGAAAGAGAAGTGAGGGTGTAAGTCCTTGATTGTGTAGGAGGTTCTCATCATGTGTTGTGGTACCTGCTGGAATGAAGCCTCCACTTCTCAAACGCGATGCTGCATCCCTTATTTACCACGCCATATTTTTCCTACCTCCAGAGCATCTTGATATCTGCAGCACCGAGCTTTACACCGCCATTGCACTATGTACTATCACCGTCTATGATTTACGGGGTTCGGGCCCAGATTCGACGCCTTGATTGAGTCGTTGAATTAGACAAGGTTTGGTAGTTCCTGGATCTTACAGTTGGCATAGTTGGAATTATGTTTGTCTGTCGAATGTCTTCATATAGATTTGATGGAAAGGGTGAGGGGTGGGAAGGGAAATGATTATACATAGAAGTTGATTACGGGTCTTACTAAGCATAGTATGCACCTACCAAGTCTCTGCCCTTAGTGTTCTCTTCTCATCAACAACCATCTATCCATCTAATGTCCATCAGTTCAGGGTACTGCGAAACTGATGCATGCAAGACATCGTGATTGATTGGTTGCTTATAAATGTAGTTGTAGATCCTCGGAACCCCTCATTCGCTATGCAACCTCTAAATGGCGGATATAACTAATTCCCTAGGATGAACTAATAACAATCTCTATGGCTCGACCTCATTACATTTCACAGACTTTTAGGTCACTCTATCAACACCGAACGAGGCGTACAATGTCTTCCTCTTCATCGCAGATCAAGCTCGCCATCCTTGACGACTACCATAACATCGCGTCGAAGCACCTCACGCCGGCCGACCCCTCCAAGGTCTTGATAACCACATTCAATGATACCCTGCCGTCGTACACGCACCCCGAAACCACCGATGCGCAACGTCAAACTCTTGTCGATCGCTTGAAGCCGTTCTCTGTGCTCTCCACCATGCGAGAGCGTACGCCCTTCCCGGGGCAGCTTCTACGCCAACTCCCGAATCTCAAAGTGATCTTCGCAACTGGAACACAATTCGAGACCTTCGATTTGAAGACGGCAAAGGAGCTCGGGATCACAGTTTGCGCAGCGCCGGGCAAGGGTAGGACAGATGGGAAAGGCAGTGGAACGTCGGCGCGTGCGAAGATGGATATTAAGAAAGGCGGCGGCCATCCGACTACACAGCATGCGTGGGCGCTTATACTGGCGTTGGCGAGGAATGTTGCAGCCGACGATGCGAATGTGAAGAGCAAACAAGGACCTCCGGGCTGGCAAACTCAACTTGCGATTGGACTACAAGGCAAGACACTAGGGTTAGTAGGATTTGGGAGGATAGGTGCGCTCACTGCCAGGGTAGGGCTTTTGGCTTGGGGGATGAAGATTGTGTGCTGGAGTGAAAACCTCACGCAAGAGAAAGCGGACAAGCTGGCTGAGGATGTTGGACTACCTGTAAATGGTGGGGGCATTGTTGGTGAAGATGAGAAGACGTTTAAGGTGGTTAGTAAAGAGCAGCTATTCAAGTCTTCAGACGTGGTAAGCTTGCACTATGTGCTCAGCGCGCGATCAAGGGGTATTGTAGGCGCAGAGGAGTTGCAGTGGATGAAAGACTCAGGTCTCCTCATCAACACTTCACGAGGCCCGCTTATAGATGAGGCTGCGCTGCTGGACACACTTCGGAAAGGTCGAATACGAGGAGCCGCTCTAGACGTCTTCGATATCGAACCCTTGCCAGCGAATAGCCCTTGGAGGACTGAGAACTGGGACGAAGAGGGAAAAAGTAGGGTACTGCTAACGCCGCATATGGGGTATGTGGAGGATGGTACATTGCGCACGTGGTATGAGGAGACAGCAGAGAACCTGGAAAGATATATTGAGGGTAGAGAGCTTTTGCATACGATTGATTGACGGGCTGCTCCTCAACTTGGACAAAGTGGGTGCGTCCATCTTCAACGTGAAAGTAAGGCGTTGGTTCCCATCCATACCAGACTTTTCGAAGCCGCGTCCCATGCGATGATCATGCATGTCATTTTTTCAAAGTACCATTATTCTTCTCAATCACCCCGTCTGCCCCCTTGTCTAGAGTGCCCTTGAAAGGCTGTTTAGCTTGATATGCTGTCCTAGGAGCTAAGCAACTTCATTTCCAACGAGACTGGTCCATATAAGCACTACATTGGTTTATGCCTTTTTGGCGGTCTTTCTCTCTTACAGAAACGCGCCTGAAGTCCTTCGCAAACTGGCCCACCCCTCCTCACGCAGATCCTCCATTGTCAACATAAAACTTACTCCATGGCTACTGTGTACTCAACAACCAGCTGTCTCAATTTGTGCATTTTCTCTGGCGTTGTTCGGTCGGGCGTGTTGTCGCCCAGCAGCAGCAGCCCACTCAGGACAGGAGAAATAGTATCAGCCTGACTTCAGCAAGTGGTGTTGTATCTCGCAGACCGAATTCTACAACATGCTTGTTCAGTGGACAGACTGGCTGTACAGTCTTGGAACTGCCTCTTGCTCACATGATTTGTCGTCTAACAATAATGTCTCGTCACGAACAAGATATCCCGTGGCTTCACAATCGTCACACGGGTTTCACGGTTCAAGGTTGACCTTTTCAGTTTCCACCTAACCTCGGGACTATGTATCAGCAAGCACTATCAAACAACACCGGTATATGAAATATCCGTAGCCCACTTCCAGGATGAAGCACATAGCTCTACTGCTACCAGTTTTTCGGTGCCAATACGATTTTTACACACAGCAAAAGCCAAACAGACCACGACGAGCAAAGAAATGGTGAAGGTTACAAAGATTAAGAACGAACCAGTATCAGATACGGAGGAGCTTATAATGGATACCTTAAAACCCAGTAAACCAACAAGGGCCACCAGATCAGCGATGCGAGACTCTACCCCCGTTCAGGAGCTCGTCCCCAGCCTCCTCCGCAGCGAACGAAAAGGTCGCAACCCATATCTTGCCTACGGCAGCTCTACCCGATCCCAGACACGCAAAACCTCCAGAGAAGTCGATTCTACAATCCCAACTGGTATGGTGAAGACACCTCGCTTGACCAGGATTCCGGCTGGTATCGGCATTGAGGAATTCCCCAGCCCGACGAACTTGAAGCTGAAGAGTGCGACGAAGAGTACGAGGAAGAGCACTAGGACCAAGGTACAGCCTGTGAAGGCCAAGGAAGAGGAGGTGGGTAAGCTTTCTAGTGATTTGGGTACTATGAGTTTGGGTGGAAAGAAGGTGGAGAGTAACGTAACGACGAGGGAGCGGAAGTGCAAGAAGAAGGCGGCGAATGAGGAACCGGTTACTGTTGAAAAGGCCAAGCTCAAGATTGACACGGAGAAAGACGAGGTTGTATTTGCTGCAAAGGGTAATAAACGTCAGACCAGAGCCACGTCGGCAGGGAACAAGCACGTCATGGAAGACGTCTACAGTGACGAGAAGAAGAACATAGAGCTCTTCGGTCTCAACCCAATCGTTCCTGACAACCTCAAACTAGATGTTTCTGTCTGCCATTTTCCCAAGAGGAGTTCTACCGAGATCATGACCTACGCCTCATCATCGTTCTTCGCCTCGGACACCGATCCCGATCGCAACTTCAAAGACACTCTCGGCCCCTCCCCAGAAGATCAATCACGAATCCGCAAACTTATCTCCAATTTCACGCCCAATGCCGCCTCGTCCCGCGACAACAAGAAGCTCTGGGAGTTTGAAGAAGAGGACATGGAGGAACTCCGGGGCGGTATTGCGGATTTGGAAGCTTGGGGAGAGCAGGGATACGCTAGTGCCATGGCGCTGTTAATTTTGAGAGGCATGTTGGAGGTTTGTGTCAAGTTTGACGCCTTTAGGACGAGTGTGGATCTGTTTTTGGATGATGTTGATAGGGTGGGGATGGATATGGACTGGAACGGAGAGGAGATAAAGGGGGAACTGGAATATCAAGTTGGAGACGAAATGAGCGACAATGAGGAATTAGGTGAGGGTATGGTGGAAGAGTATGTTGGCGAAGAGGAGATTGGAGATACGTGATATTGGCATAGTGCTTGCTCTTGATTTCGAGGTCAGCTTTGTGGCCGTCGTATCTCGCGTAGCTGATGGCCATATCTACGTCGTGGCCAAATGGTTCGTCCCGCAAAGAAGATGGTGTTCGATTGTCTAAGTTGAGTCTTGTAAAGTACACAGAAATGTAATCAGGCTCAAATGGCAAAGTGTCGCAGCAGGATATAGATCTATCTCCTTATCTTAGGAATAGGTATCGAGATCTCTTTTGCTGTTTGACACGAAGTCAAACACATATCCTATCGCACTGAAACCAGATCACTATCTCAGCTAAAAGACTATGGGCATTTGAATAACTGACATTGAATACCAGGGCGTTCTTCGCTCACTTCCATCAATAGCCATCCCGCGATTCAAGCAGTTGAACCGGCTCTGAGACTCTATTAATCCTTACACAATATGACCACAAAGATCTTGAGGGTACTGCCTTGTCTCTACTACTCATGTACCAATCAATTCCGTTCCCCAAGTTGTCGTCAATACTTAAATATGCCCCCATGGCCAAGAGAATGAAGAAATTGGCCTTCCGTCCGGTTTTTGCAGCTGCCAGCGAACGCGTCTGTCCAAAGCTATCTCTATCGTTGAGATTCTCCATGTTCACGCTAGACAACAGTTCAATCACGCTCACGCTATTCCAGGAGGTTTTCTGCAGCGTTGTCCCGTCCGCTCCGTCTTCAGGAGGCGCAAGCTCGTGATATATATGCAATAGTCTCTCGACCACCGTCACATGACCGGCTCCTGCTGAAAGCTCGATGACTCCCAAAAGATACTCCGCCCCAAGATTCAAGTATTCTTTCAGATTAGAAAGTAGAAAGAGCACCAGGTCTGCAGGCCCTATATTTATGGCTATCGTGATAATCGTGGGCGCACACCGATGAAGATCGATTTCCGGGCGTTTCAGCAATAATTCAAGGGCATGTTTGTCACCATAAACTATAGCCATCTGTAGTGGCAATCTACCAATCGAGCTTTTGCCAATCTTCGGTCGCACACAAAGATCGTAGAGCTGAACTTCGGCATGGGAGCTCTTATTCGTGATATTTGCTGCATCCTCAGACTCGGGGATTCTTGATGAGTCGCCTTCTCTGGCAGGGATGACGGTTCGTTTTTGGGCAGACTGTATGTCTAGTTTGGGACCAGTCCCAGACTGGGAAACATTGGTGGACAGTAGCTCGCTTGTGAATGCAGTCCGGACAAAGATATTAGATTCATGGATACCTACTCCATTGATTTGGACCTTGGGACTGGAAACCATGATCTTAAATACTTTTTCACGGGATCTCATTATCGCATATGTTAGCGGGGAATCTCCGGACGAGTTCAAGGCGTTGCAGTCAACTTCCGGCATCGAGAGCAGCAGTCGGACAATCTCCACATGGCTCCGATCGATTGCTAGATGGAGTGCGGTGAGGCCATCCTCGTCCCATGAATCACGTCTGTAATGGATCAGATGGATCAGATAGGGGATCAAGTCGTCCCAGCCAAATCGAACAGCGAGATGTAACCCTGTACTCATGCCGATTCTCGGACGCCTGAAGGACCTGGGCGAGTGCGCTTTCTTCGCCTGCGCATAGGAGGCAATATGAGGATCACTCAACAACAGTTTCTTAAGTAAACATTCATCCGACCGGATCGTCCTGGAGACCTTTTGAGATTGTGAAGACCATTCCCGCACTGCGTAGTGGTAGAACGGGTGAGCTGCCAGTCTAGCCTCATATAGCTCTTTTGTTTCGCATGGACCATCACTAAACACATCGAATGAAAGATATGTGCTGCACTTGCGAAAAATCAAGAGACCGGGTTGCTTGAACCAGCGTCCTGATGTCCTTTTGAGAAAGTCATGGGTCGTCTTGTGCGCTAACATGACAGCGTCATAGTCTTTCGAGGGGCCCCTGGGTTGGATCGTGATTAAGCCTGCGCAGGCAGAGAGAATTAAGTCGGTACTGGCAAGATTATCCATGTCCAGGGATGCCATTCCCACTTCGATCCCGAGCGCATACTGGAGCTCTTGGAGACCAATCCTTTCATCGCTGAAAGCAATCCAGGCCAAGGCTTGCAGGGCAATGTCCCGATAATGCTCTTGTTGGCCTTCAACCAAATGCATCGTCTTTTCGTAGGCAGCTTCCAATGCTGTTTCTCCGGAGGTGATATGCCGCAGTGCGTCTTTGACCTGTCGCACATTCACCAGTCCTTTGAGTGAGTTTAAGTGCAGTTTAGCAAGAAGGAACCTGTGATATGGTCAGTAGGTACAGTGAGAAGAGTTGTCGACAGCTTTACATTCCATTCGATGCATTTTGAATCTTTTCTTTGATACGTTGCCCCAGGTCTTGAACATTGGAGACGAATTGCAAAGAATGCAGAATGTGGGCATCCAGATAAAGACCGACATCCTCGTCTGTCGCTTTGATAACGATGGGAGTATGGTCTTTGAATCGCTTCTCAATATGAGTATTGAATCTGGAAGTGACTAATAGGTTGGCTTGAGACACCTTTTGAACCGAGAAGAGGGTGTCAATAAACTTCTCTCGGGTCTGATTTTCAAGTTGGCATTCGTCTAGTCCGTCAACCACAATGAAAGCTCTTGTCAGGCTTGATATTACAGAATGTAACATGGTCGTAATCGATTTAAGCAATGGACGTGATTTGGATTTCGCATGTTGACTATAAACAGCCTTTACTGACTCAGGAAACGGGCGACATTGGTCGGTAAACTGTTTCAAGAGTGCCATGAGCAAGTCATCTAGGCTCTGCGAGTCCACCTCGCGATAGTTGCAGTAAATATATGCTGTTGCAACCTTTGATTCTAGCGAGAATGTCGTCTGGAGATGCTGAATGGCTCGAGATGTTATGAAGGTCTTTCCCGCACCTGGTATGCCTGGGCAGAATAGAACTTTGCCCTTGATCGATAGCCAGTCTTTGAATGGTTTGATCTCAAGGAACCATTCAGCCGTTTCTGGCTGTCTTTGCTTGTTCAACGAATTTTGTTGAGATGAAAAATCAATCTCTGTGAGCCACTTCAATACACGCTGTTGTTCTTGAAGAATCATCTCCTCGGAATAAGCTTTGGCAAGCTCTTCAATTCCTAACATGGCATAGTGTCAATGGCCATAAAAATCGCTATGTAATTGCAAGCTAGCACTAACCAGAGAGAACCTCCACGATCCTTTTCTCCGATGCGACCTTGTTCGGTATCAACCGTAATATGATATCTTTCGTGAATGCAGCTGCGGTCATGGCAGCGTATCCATGCCATTGATCGTTCTTGTGTGTATCGGCATAATCTGCGATCCCGCGAATGACAAGACATGGAAAATGGTTCATTAGTCCTGCAGCCTCCATTTCGAAACATAGTACGTTTTTCTTCCTTGCTAATGTGTCTCTGAACGTCGCATCCCTCATGACCTGATTAGCAGATGCGATAAGACCGTAGTGCACTGCTGGATTGTCATCATCCTCCGTGCGCTCATTCCTTTCCAGGATCGTCGCCCCATCACCGATACAGATCTCAGCGCAGGTCTGCTTTTGATGCTTATTGGAATTATCGTGAACAAAGTTGGACATGAACAAGTTGTCGGACGATCGAGGAGGTCGATTGAAGCTCTTTCGTAGCCTTTTGTTTTTCTCAAGGATGTCCTCAATGCTTTTATAAAGGTCGTGCCCATTAATCATGTAGTCGGATCGAAGTGCTGCAACCGCGGCTCGCAGAAGTTCGGGGGGCTTATCCAAAAACCCCGTAGCAATGAAATCTTCATCCTGAATATGCTTTCCAAAGTCGTACTGATACACTCCTCCATGTCCACTTTCTGGGTAGCTGACGACAACATCACCTAATCGAATATCTCTGTCCTTGGTAGGGGCTCCACCTCCGATGCCGACCATGAATCCAACCTTCAAATGTGTAAAGGTATGGAGCATGTCCTTGGCTACGCCCGATGCCGATGCAGTACCGCACTCTCCTGGTAATACCGCAATCACCACATTGTGTCGCCCCATTCTGCCTAGTATATAGGAATTGTGGTCCTCAGAAGCTGCCTCTTGTAGGGATTCGTGCTCCTCATCAAGAAAAGAGCGTAAGGCGACTGATTCTATGTCAAGGGCACATATGCATCCAATAGTGTAGTCCTCTGCTGAATAGGTCGGCTTGGACCGCTTGGTTGACCGGTAACCGTCGGGAATGTCGTGTGCTCGCTTGTTTGCCACTCTGTCAGGCGCCGATATGCCGGATGATGAATGGAAGGAGGCTTCTCTCTCGGGTGCGGTGGTTTGCCTTGTGTTCATCGCGACGATGAGCGGAGTTAGGACACAAAATGTAACTAATCAGTCTACGATATCAGACGTTTTGCTTAGTGGAGATACCACGATTGAAGACCTGTAACGAAGAAGATTGGAGGTTGTGGAAGAAGGCTGGAGAGCTGAAAGAGGGGCTATTTTCTCAAATATCGAATGGGATTTGGAGGCTATCAGAGTAAGGCCAGCCCGGTGGACTCACCGGTCGCTGATCAGCTACGTGGAGGGAAAGTACCGGTGTTCAGCGCAAACAATAATTACCGCCTGGCGCTCTGTGACACTGGGGCTCGGTGTGTGTGGCACCCTGTCATCCAATCATAATTTCAGCGAATACGAGGCACTCAAGCAAAACAAATCTATTGGCTTCTGCATCTACATACTGCACGGATAAGGATAGAGCCTTGGAACACCATCTCAAGGGTGGGAATCTCCACATGGCGAGTTCAAACCTGCACCTCGATCCTGTTTCGCATAATAGTAGTATGTCACGAGATGTACCTCTTGTAGAGTAATACGTTCCACTCTTCTGATCGTAAAAGGTTATTGCTGATGAAATCATTCAAGATTTACCACTGCAAGGGGTGTCAGGAGTAAACGTTTGACCAAACACGGTCAGCCTGCAGAAGCACTTCCTACCGAGTTTCTTGCCGCCGTAAGTCAAGATGTCAACGGAGACTACGGGAGCATATACAGTCGTAAGGTGGAAGGTACGATTCAGGATCATGGTCAGTTAATCTATAAATCCTCTCGTGTTTCGATGAGTGTTATTGATATAACGGTAGACGTGTGGTACTCGTTCAAAGTCAAGATGGTTGAACCGAGCAGGTCAGGGTATTATTGGCAACAGATATCGGCCTTCATTAGATACAGTACCATCATCGGAAGTACCTTTGTGCTTTGCGTAGATTGTCCTGCGTCTATTCAAAACCATCTGCGTGCAAAGATGGTACCTAGCCTTGCGAGTGTGTCTGACTGGCACGTGATG